AAAGTGCGGTCGTTGCACATACCCACGTTATGTAGATTCTGAATATGTTTCCAACGATGAGAATAGTGACGATGCAGTTGACGATACTGGTAAATATCATTTTAATATAACAACTTTTAATCTTAACATTACTAATTATATAAATTCATTACATTATTTTAAATGAATAATATTATTTAATTAATTTTGGATAGATTACGAAGATCTTGGAGACCAGACGTATGAATGTCCTTTTTGTGGTTCAATGATGTGGTACGGTGAAAGAATTGACAAGTATAGACAAACATCCAGGCCCAAATTTGGCTTATGTTGTATGTCCGGGAAATTCCAGCTCCCAAAAATAAGAGATGCACCTCCTACACTTAACAATTTAGTGTTTGACACTGATCGGAGGAGCAAACATTTCCAAGTTAACGTACGATCGTATAATATGATGTTTTCTTTCACGTCGTTTGGTGGAAAAGTGCAGACATCTATTAATAACGGATCTGGTCCATACACATTTCTGTTACACGGACAGAATTACCATCTACTGGGCAGTTTATTGCCGGAAGAGGGCACTAGGCCTAAGTTTGCCCAACTTTACATTTTCGACACAGAAAATGAGATTCAGAATCGAATTGATGCCGTCAGGTAAAATTTTCGGAATTATATTCCTGTTCTAAGGAATATAGAGCTTACAAATTATAATTACATTATTTTTTATTTGACAGGTCCGGAAATCAATCTAACAATCTTGACCCAGCCTTCGTTGCATCGTTGAAAGATATGATTGACGGTAACAATGTACTTGCACAACATTACCGTGCTGTTCGAGATCGTTTTTCCAATGATGGCCATCAAGGAGTAAAACTCAGATTGGTAAAGAGTCGCAGTACTGATGGCAGGACGTACAATCTTCCTAACGCAAGTGAAATAGAAGGCTTGATCGTTGGTGACTTTGACACACAAGAGGGTGTTAAGGATATTGTAGTTGAGACGCGCTCAAATAAGTTTCAACGAATCAGTGAGCTCCATCCTCTTTACTTGCCTCTACAGTATCCTCTTTTATTTTCTTATGGTGAAGATGGTTATCGAGACGATATCAGTTTGAGAGAATCTTCATTTGCTGATAATAGAAAACGAAGGAAGGTAAGCATGCGATAATTCTTTGCATACCTAATTCAGAAACGGCATGGAGAACATTCGTTACTTTTGCATTTCAAGAAGTTATTTCAGCAGTTCTGTGTTGATGGATTTTCGATGGTTGAGTCACAGAGGTTGAATTTCATAAGGTTCAATCAGGATCAACTTAGGGTTGACATGTACAAGGGTATCGAAGAAAATATTTTTAAAGGAGACACTGAGGGTAAATCGGTTGGACAACGCATTATAATTCCAGGGTCGTTCGCCGCAGGTCCAATGTATATGTTTAACAACTTCGTTGATGCTCTTCAAATATGTAACTCGATTGAATTTCCAACCCTCTTCATCACTATCACATGCAATCCCCAATGGCCAGAAATACAAAGGGTGTTAAAAGATACAAATCTCAGGCCGGCGGATCGGCCAGACATTCTGTGTCGTGTGTTCAAAATGAAGCTCGATAGTATGATGACGGAAATCAAGAAGGGCCGTATATTCGGATGTATTAGAGTATGTGAGTATTTAATTAGATATCCATTTATAATTAAACATTTAATACGTTTATATAAATTAGATAATTTAGTCATGTGCGAGTTTAACTACTTTTTGCTTCATTAACTAAATTAATTCATATTTTTTAATACCGTATGTTTACATTTTTTATGCAGATGTATGCACAATAGAATTTCAGAAACGAGGTCTACCGCATGCACATATTTTACTGTGGTTGCATAATGACGACAAGATCATATGGGCTGAAATTCCTGACGAAGAAAACGACAGAAAGATGTACCAGTTGGTGGAGAAGTATATGATACATGGACCGTGCGGTCAGGCGAATTTGAAATCTCCATGTATGAAAGATAGAGTTTGCACGAAGCGATTTCCAAAGCCGTTTGTGCAGCGCACTGAATCAGATACAGATGGGTTTACAGTGTATAGGAGAAGGGAAGATGGCAGAACAGTTACGAAGAAGAAGACTACTCTTGATAATGGGTTTGTGGTCCCCTACAATCGTATATTGTTGAGTAAATACCGAGCTCACATTAATATCGAGCTATGCAACCAAAACAAGTCAATTAAATACCTGTTCAAATCGTAAACAAGGGGCATGACCGAGTCACAACGGCATTTTATGAGACACGCAATACAGATGGCGGTGCTGAGATTCGTGATGAGATAAAGATGTACTACGACTGCAGATATCTTTCGGCGTGTGAGGCAATGTGGAGGTTGTTTAACATTGATATTCATTACAGAGACCCGTCCGTAATTAGGCTAAGCTTTCATCTCCCCGATCATCAGCCAATTGTCTTCAATGAAAACCAGTCGTTACAAAGTGTGTTGGATAGGCCATCTGCCAAGAAAACTATGTTCCTGGCGTGGTTTGAGGCCAACAAGAACTATCCACATGCAAGGGACTTGAGGTACGGAGATTTTCCACAACAATTTGTGTATAAAGAGGATTCTCGAACTTGGGTGCCAAGGAAAAAAAGATTTTCTATCGGTAGGATTGCGAATGTTCCCCCTGGAAAGGGAGAAGACTATTACCTTAGGTTGCTACTTAACATTCAAAGGGGATGAACATGCTACGAGGACATCAGAATTTTTTTTGACATTGTCTACCCTACGTTCAGGGATGCATGTTATGTGTTGGGTTTGCTAGATGACGACAAAGAATACATAGATGCAATAAAAGAAGTGAATACTTGGGCATCGGAGGTTATTTGCGGTTATGCTGCTTTCCAATAGCTTAAGTCGGCCCGAACATGTTTGGCAAAGTTGTTGGTTGGATTTGGCTGATGGTATTGCTTACAAACAACAACGTCTTCATAAAAATCCAGGTATGGCAATTTGTATGGCATTGTATTCAATTAGATTTTACGTATTAATCATTCTTTTAATATTGTCTCTGTACGATTTCAACTAGATGCACATAATTAATCCATTTTTTTATTGTTGAAGATTTACATATATCGGATGAAAGCTTGAAGAACTATACTCTCACCGAAATAGAAAACATATGGCAAAGCAATGGTAAAAGCCTGCAAAAATACGCGCCTATGCCAGTTCCAATCGAATACTCATATGAGGACACAAAAAACATATTGGTGTTAGATGAACTGGATTACGACCGGTTTTAAATGGGTAGAGAAATTCAACAGTGTCTTGCTTCCATTACAGATGAGCAACGAAAGGTTTATGATGTAGTCATGGATGCAGTAACCAATGACAGTGGTGTAATGTTCTTTCTATATGGCCATGGTGGAACGGGAAAGACGTTTCTATGGAAAACTCTTTCGGCTGCAGTTCGTTCGAATGGAGAGATTGTAATTAACGTTGCATCGAGTGGTATAGCATCGTTATTGCTCCCCGATGGAAGAACAGCTCATTCTCGATTCGGACTACCCATAAATGTACATGAGAGTTCCACCTGCAGCATATCGCAACAAAGTCCACAGGCAGAGTTGCTCATAAGGGCAAAGCTTATTATATGGGACGAGGCTCCTATGATGCATAGATACTGTTTTGAAGCCCTTGACAAGACAATGAAGTAAATATTACAGGATGACAAACCCTTTGGTGGTAAGGTGGTTGTTCTTGGAGATGATTTTAGGCAGATTTTACCAGTTGTGCTCAAAGCATCAAGGCAGGACATAGTACATGCTACGATAAACTCCTCTGCGCTGTGGAATTTCTGTCGTGTCATGAAGTTGACTAAGAACATGAGATTGCAGTCATGTTCTTCTCCATGTAATGTGGATGAGATAAAATAATTTGGAGACTGGATACTGAATGTTGGTAATGGGGATGTTGGGGAAGACAATGATGGTGAAGCTTCGATAGAGATTCCAGATGACATGTTGATTGGTGATTCAGAAGATCCATTCAGAGACCTACTCGAATTCGTTTACCCGGATTTGTTGAGTAACATGTACGATCGAGATTATTTTCAAAGGAGGGCAATTCTTGCACCAACTAATGAATGCGTCGAGTCTTTGAACGATCACTTAATGTCTCTCCTTCCAGGAGAGGAAAAGGTGTACATGAGCTCAGATAGTATGTGTAGGGACGAGCACACAACGGAGGATAATGCAGAAATTTATTCGACTGAATTCCTCAACACAATAAGATGCTCCGGAGTTCTTTCTCATGTGTTGAGGATCAAGGTTGGTGCACCCGTTATGCTAATAAGAAACATCGATCAAGCTAGAGGATTGTGCAACGGTACCAGACTTCAAATTATTAGAACTGGCATTCACGTTCTGAGTTGCAAAATTCTTTCCGGAAAAAATATCGGTGACATGGTGTTCATTACTTGGATGACTTTAATACCATCTAACTCCGGACTGCCAATTAAATTTCAGAGAGGACAATTTCCGTTGATTGTTTCTTTTGCAATGACGATAAATAAAAGCCAAGGTCAAACTCTTTCGCATGTTGGTTTGTATCTTCCTAGGCCTGTCTTCAGCCATGGTCAACTATATGTTGCAATGTCCAGAGTTAAGAGCAGATGTGACATTAAGATATTCATCAAGTTGGATTCGGGTGAAATCACCAATGTTACTAGAAATGTCGTGTACAAGGAAGTATTTCATCGAATTTGAAGGTAGAAAATATTTTCATATTTATCATTTATTCATGTAACATGTTTTTTATTTTATTTTTAAAGAACTTATTCTTTTGCAGGTGTTTCTTATCTATATATTTTCCCCGGTGCGATGTTATTTTCAGTCATTTCCCTATGGTGCTCGGTGCAATTCTTATTATCTTTAAGATTTATTTTTGACGATATACTAATATTTAATAGTATTCTTATATTATAACTATGAAGAACATGACACTTATAACATATTTTTATTATCGTTGGTCGATTACGTTATGTACTTAGATTCAGTGACCGTAATAATTGTTATCTGCTTAAATTTATTTTTGAGACATGTATTTTCAGTCAAAAATATGTCGCCCCGTGCATCGCACGGGTGAATACTAGTAATTCAAAAACAATGAATTTAATAACTAACAGTGGAGAATTTTTTTTTTTGTATTTAAGTTGGCAACAACGAATTCCAACTATTGTGTGAAGAGGAGAAAATTATTTAATCTCTACATATATATACAGATAATATATCTTTTTGGACCCCACCACCACCCCCAACCCCTTGGATAGCAATTGTTTATGCCGCAACAAAGACTCCAGGCCGCCCTGAATTACGGCAATAAACTACAAATAAAATATGAAACTAAAACTAAGAATTAATTAACACAATCTCATCTTTCTGTTGACCAATACAACCTCACTTATTAACTTAATTGGACTCTGTTCATCACTATTATCATAATGGTGTTTAAGCCATACACTACGCAACAAAATATTAGAAAGCTATGATCTGACACAATCTTATAAGAGCATCTGTGTTCC